AAACAGTGATTATGTGTGACTGAGGTGAAAGTGTTGAATGATTATGAAAGTATTTGCTTTTTGGGGGATTTTCTTTCTTTTTGGGTCACCCTGCCTCGGTGGGAGACGGCCGACATTGTTGAAATATATATATATATATATATATATATATATATATATATATATATAATATATATATATATATATATATATATATATATATATATATATTTATATATATATATATATATATATATAAATAACTTGCGACGAGCCTCCAACCTTCTCCTTGTTGCAACATTTACCAACCATGCTTCACACCTATGTAAGAGCGTTCGTACTGCTATACTCTCATACATGTACACTCCTCACTTTGCTTCCATAAATAACGTTCTCTGTTTCCATAGACTCCTCAGTGTAACTTCAACCACTAAACTACATCACTATATATCAACCTCACTACATAGCTTCACTACAGATCAGTGTCACTCGACAACATCATTATACATCGCTACACATGAACATCTCTACACAACTTCAATACACATTAACATCACTACACAGCAGCATCACTACACAAAATAATTACAAAGCATCATTATACATTATCACTACACAACGTCACTACATATCAACATTACTACACATCACTGCACAACATAATCACTATGCATTATTACACAGTATCACTACACTTCACTATACATCTTTACACATCAGCATCACTACACATCACAACACATTACTACTCATCAACATTGCTACACATTATCAGTACACATCAACGTCACTACACATCACTACACATCATCACTACACAACAAGACTACACATTAACATCATTGCACATCTCTACACATCAGCATCATAATCACTGCACATCAACAGCACTTCACAGCATCACTACACACCATCAATACACATCATCACTACAAAACATAATCACTACACAGCATCACTACAAATCAGCATCATTACACATCAACATCAATACACAACACCTTCACTAACAACATGACTACATATTAACATCATTACACATATCTACATATCAGCATCATCATCATCACTACACATCAATAATACTTCACCATCAATACACATCACTACAGAACAAAATCACTATCACTACAGATCACTTCACAGCATCACTACACATCTTACCAAAGATAAAAATTTGTTATAATAATCAATCATCACAGTCTTCCTCTTCTTCACAACAACTCATCCACAAGAAATATTCATCACTATTTTTCACTAGCGCAGTCATATGACTAATATTCAAGAATTCTAACTTGACTATGTAAAATGTTTGACTATTCCGATTACTTCCCCGGGTTCAATAATTCTAGCCTGACTATATAAAATATTTGACTATTGGGTATACATCACCGGGTTTCCTCTTAGTAAATCTAAATAAAAATTAGCCGACTGACTGGAAAAACTTGAGTGCTTCCTCTCATCACGGTTGCTACTTCCTCTAAGTCAGTCACTTAGAGAACTATGGATTGGTTCAAGACACAGGCTCGCCGACTTCGCGAGAAGTCCATTGACTCCCAGTGGATTCTTGAAAACGAGAAGCGCCTGAAGATTAAAGAACTGGGTTGTGGAGGGTGTGGCAAGACCCAGCTCTGGAATCTTCCAGGCCACGACGGACCAGTGGTCCTCAAAAACATCTTTGACCCTAATACCCGAGAAACGGATTGTCTCCGAGAGGCCCAGATCTTGGATACGCTCAAAGGTGCTGGTGGAGCTCCCAGACTTCTGGGTCTGTCTCCTGAGATAGGATGTTATTTTATGTCTTTCCTGGGACTGGAGGATTTAGAAACCCTCAGCCACAACCAGGAAACAGGCGGGGAAAAATTAGACGACTTGTTTTGGTTAAAAGCCATTGAAAACGTCATTCAGAACCTGATTAAAGCATCCAAAAAAGGTATTATTCATCTCGACTTTAAACAAAACAACGTGATGGTCGACAGAACTGACCCTAAAAACCCAAAAACCGCCATAATTGACTTCGGACTGTCAGTCCGCCCAGGCCAGCCCTGGGTTTATGGTGACTACGAAAAGAACCGCGTAGACAAGTTTTTGCAGTTTAACCCCTGGAACAGTTACGAAGCTGCTATGGGTCAGCCTGTCACAACAAAAAGTGATGTGGTGGGAGTCGCCCTGCTCATCAAACAGGTTATTGAAAACATGGATCGTCAGCCCCACCAGTTGATGACTCTGGCCCTGAAGGGCCTCAGCCGGGACCCAAAGGACAGACCTGACCTCAAGACCTACCTCCGAACAACGAAAAAAATCATCAAGCTCTTCACTGCCAAATTTGGTTGAGCTTTTTGGCTACAGCTTCTGATATAAAGGAAAAAAGGAAAAAAACAATTATACAAAAAGGATTTCTTTAATTTTTTTAATTTTTATTGTTAAATATTAAAAAAAAAAAAGGAACTTGAAGAGCAGCCACCTCCACGTGGTAAGTTCTGGGTACCTTGTGTGACTGTGAGTACTTGGACACTCATGTGTGACTGTCGCTACATGAACAGTCATGTGTGAGTGTCGAGTACATTGTCACTTACACAAAGTAGCTGAGAGCTGCTCACATTATCTGTTGTCATGATCTGGGGAACACGTTGTTTAGATAAATAATGTATTATCTGTTTCTGGACAATGTATTAATGCACTGTCTATATAAAATTACTTTGGAGACTGAGACACTTATACAAAATACTGGAAATTGAAGAAAAATTTCACCACACAGTGGCTTCAACAGTCCATACAAAGAAGAATGGTGAAGAACAGGAGGGACTGATTACCTCAAAGTCCTCCTGTTCTTCACCTCCTAATTTTTTATGGACTGATGAAGCCACTGTGGCAAAAGACTTCTTCAGTAAAGATTCCCATATGTTTCACAAGTGTCTCACCGAAGCCAGACGTCCCTGCACGGTGTGCTGCTCTCTCACACCGCCTGGTGTCACACATCACCGGGTAACAGAGCTGTGACGCAACCACTGAGTCACAGAACTGTGACACACCACGGGTCACACAGCTGTGACACAACCACTGGGTCACAGAGCTGTGACACAACCACAGGGTCACAGAGCTGTGACACAACCACTGGGTCACAGAGCTGTGACACAACCACTGGGTCACAGAGCTGTGACACAACCACTGGGTCACACAGCTGTGACGGTGGCGGTGGTGGCGGTGACAGTAGTGCTGGTGGCGATGGCGGCGGCGGCGGCGGCGGCGGCGGCTGCGGCGGCGGCGGCTGCGGCGGCGGCGGCGGCGGCGGCGGCGATGGCGGCGGCGGCGGCGGCGGCGGCGGCGGCGGGCGGCGGCGGCGGCGGCGGCGGCGGCGGCGGCGGCGGCGGCGGCGGTGGCGGCGGCCCTCGGCGGCGGCGGCGGCGGCGGCGGCGGCGGCGGCGGCGGCGGCGACGGTGAAGGTGGTGGTGCAGAATATTTAGTTAATTACTTTACCCAAGTTTTCTCATTTTGGGCATCATCCAAGAATCGACCGAAGCTTCGAACTCTCAGATTATCTTAATCGCATTACAAGTTCCCCAGACACTATGTATTTCTTGATGAACTATGTTCCTTTATCAAGTCTTGTAGAATAAGAGTTACCACGCCATGGCCCACAAATTAGAGAAGAATCATCCGTCCCTGATTATTATCAAGTAGCGAGTGAGAGAAAAGTTAGGAGAAAGTTGAAGTCAAGACTGCAGAAAGCCTCAGTCAGGAGGTGGTGAAAGCCTGAAGTAAGTCAAGAGACGAAGGAAGTCTGAAGTCAGAAGAAACAGAAAGCCGAGGTCTGGTAATGCCATGTACGTTCAGAGTTTCTGTTAACGTGTTGGGGAAGACAAGCATCTACAGAGACGGCACTGGAGCTCACTCATGTTAGCAGTGTGTTAACTTACGTATACGAGTCGAGTCAACGACACTGCGCCTCTGAAGACTAGAAGACCAATAGATAGTCCTTGTAGCGGACCGACTAACTGAATTTCGACATCTTCTAATATGGCAGAAAAGAATCTTGTTACTCTCAGGATGACGAGCACTTCTTTTGTGTTCTTTAATTAAGTCGTTCAGAAAGGAAGTGGCAGGTTTCACCCAAACATTGCAGAGAATAACAGGAGCATAAAATGAGGTAAACGCAGGGAGTATCCTTGAGTTTAATTGTGAATTAACTCTTGTACACCGACACAGATTTAAGAAGACATAATAAAAGCATCCTTGTTTAAATTTTGTACATGTTATTTATTACTATATTAATGTATTGAGGCTAGAGGCAATCCACACGAGTATATTACGCATAGTTAGTTACTAATAAATTTATCATGTGCTCTAAGAAGATTGATGAGAACACGAATTCTTCATATCTAGAATATTAACACACACACACACACACACACACACACACACACACACATCCTGAAATCAACCTGACGACACTGGAGTACAGGAGAGATAGGGGGGACATGATAACGACTTACAAAATTCTGAGAGGAATTGACAAGGTGGACAAAGACAGGATGTTCCAGAGATTGGACACAGTAACAAGGGGACACAGTTGGAAGCTGAAGACACAGATGAATCAAAGGGATGTTAGGAAGTATTTCTTCAGCCACAGAGTAGTCAGGAAGTGGAATAGTTTGGGAAGCGATGTAGTGGAGGCAGGATCCATACATAGCTTTAAGCAGAGGTACGATAAAGCTCATGGTTCAGGGAGAGTGACCTAGTAGCGACCAGTGAAGAGGCGGGGCCAGGAGCTTAGACTCGACCCCTGCAACCTCAACTAGGTGAGTACAACTAGGTGAGTACACACACACACACACACATGGTTTCTAACGAGGACATATACTATATAGCCATTGAAGTTACGAACTCTATAACAACTTTATACGACTTCAAGATAATCACATTTATTATAATTATTTCTATGAATGCTTAATATTTAAGCCATCTATACAGCTAAGAGAATATTTATATACTGTTATAGGGAAATGAATGAGAGAAATCGAAACGAGAATAGAAATTCAGTTTATTTTTTTCATCATTTCTCTACTCAAAAACATGGCATATCGGGATTCCCAGTTGAGTTAAATACACATAAACACAGTATGAATTTTGCCTATCATTGACCCGATAGATAGAATTCTAGAATTTGTCTAGGGTTTTCTCCAGCTCTTCTGATCTCCTGAAATTCTGTATTCTGTGGACGTTGTGTATGTAAACAGAAGTCTCCGTCAGTAGCGAAGCAGTAATGTGCTCAGAGACAGAAGCCTCCGTCAATGGTGAAGACGTTACCAGTGTGGTAGGAGGACTGAAAGGCAATTAAGACAAAATAATGAGAAGCCTTATTAGGTATGTTGTCGCTCTTGGCTCAAGTGAAGGTTATAAGCAAGGAGGTGAAGGTGTTGTGTTTATGTTTGTGGTGAGAATAGTGGTGATGATGGTGGCGCTGATGGTGGTAGCTGCAGTACCATGTTAACACATCAAGCAACACAACACCTTGATATAGCACCACTTAACACATCAAGCAACACAACACCTTGATATAATACCATTTAACACATCAAGTAACACAACACCTTGATATAGCAACATTTAGCACATCAAAGTGGAACCCCTGATAACTCATCATAACTGGAAAGGAAGATCACCTCGTCAGAAGCTAGATAGACACACAGGTTGGCCACCTCCTCCGGGTAGGCTAGACGGCCTATCATCTTATCTTGCATGTACTCTACGTGCTCCTGAAACACGCAAAAGGTACTGAGCCTCCTCGGGAAACAGAAAATGCGCTCAAAAGTCAGCGTGAAATACACATTGTGTACTTAATATGCTTCTAAAAATAATTGTCCCTTAAATTCATGAACAAAATGTGTTCAACAAGCGTCTGATATACTGAAAATGTATTCAGTAAGTGCCCGAACCTTTCAAATTTACTCAAGGTGTACTTACAACACAGAAATGCAGCCAATGTACTCCTGAAACAGAGAAAGTGTTCTAAGGTCTGTAAGACGGACATGAAGGTGAAGTGAGTAATGCAGTTATGTTAGCAAACTTGAGATTATCTTAGCAGCACGAACCAATGAAATGCTTTAACCATTACCCTGGAACTCTCTTAAAACATGTATATATATATTTATATTCTTGGAACGTAATAAGTATAAATTCTTTATATGGTCTTTGAGTTAAGTGCATGTACTGCCTTTCCGAATGTTTCACTACGTACCTATATTACTCTCAGTCTACGATATATTTTAGTGATCTGCTGCTCCATCTGGTTTTGGGGTTTAGTGGGAAATTTGAACTAGGATGTCAGACAAGAGGTTTAATGCTAACGTTAAACGTGGTCAGGTGCTAGAATGCAGGAAACATAAGTGAGATGGGGCCGACACTGTCCTGGTTGAAACTGGAATCGTGCACTGGGATACCTCAGAGAATATATAAAAAAATTGTGGGATATAATTCTCACACGTAGGCCTACTGAGGCAGCCACGAGCACACTGATGAACTATACACATAAGTGAGAAACCACATGAACAGAAAATAGGCGCACATGTAAAAAAAAAGTATCTGTATGTTTGAGCCTCCGTTAGAGACCCTTTTCAACAGATGTATTGAACTATACAGATCTCTTTGATTCATTTTTCAGTTTTCTGTGCCCGTGGTTCTTCACGTTTTATCATCAGTTTCGATGACACTTCAACCTTTGATACTAGCACTTCCAACACAGTTGTCTGTAGAGCACACGCCTGTGTGCTCTACAGACAACTGTGTTGGATTCTAACATCACAGCCAACTGTGGTATTAGAATCATAAATGGATATTAAGTCCTCACACAATTTACCTTATCTGAGTCGCTCAGGTCTTGGAGTCTCTCCTGGAAGCTCGGAGTGGCTACGGGAGACGGACAGACCACATTACACCTGAAACACGTCAATACCTTGCACTCACCAACTTGTCTTCTACCAAGGATCGAGTCTCAGCTCCTGACCCCGCCTCTATCGAGAAGCAATGTTTAATCAAAGCCTCTTCAACTTATCATACCAATTCGTGAAACTCTGTGCACAATTAGTCTACCTTTTCTCTCCCATTTCATTTCACTTAAAACAGTAAGACTAAGAAAGTATTTCCTAACATTCCTGTTGCTGTCATCTGTTATATGTTCTGTGAAATATCGTTTTCCATGGCTCGGTCTGACAGCGATAGCAGTTGATATTTCTATGGTCGTAGCAACCGTTGTCAGAGAAGTGGCAATGGAAATGGCTGTAGTTAAGGAAAAGAAAAACCTTATAAGCTGCCACCAGTCCATCTCTTGTTTTAGTTAATCTAAGAAAACTCCCCATTTATTAATGGTGAGCAAGTGGAAAAAAGTAAGTTTTTGTCGGAATTTTAACTCTGCTGATGTCAGAGGAGACACTACCATGCTACTGAAGGCACAAATGTGTTAGTAAGCATGTTAGAGAAGACACACAGGTGTTAGTGAAGACAAAAAGAAAATCTAGTAGGTCACAAAGTTGTCAGGGGAGACACAGGTTAGGTAGTTTGTTCTACATTATGGCCGAGCAGTTGTTAAAATGTTAGAATATAGCATTAACGCAACTTTGCCAAGCCTACTCAACTTTGTCAAGGCTAACTTATCTTTGTTAAGAATTAGCCTATCATCGACAAGCCTAACCATTGTCAAGGCTAATCCTCCCAGGTCAAGACTATCCTTCGTGTAGATTAGCCTATCTTTGCCACTGTTAATCCAGCCATCATGAACTAGTTTAACCTATGGAAAGTACAAGAGAAGGCCTGACCTGACTCCTTGACGTACATAGTCCCGGGCAACGGCTTTGGTGAGGCCTATGACTGCAGCCTTGGTGGCGCCGTACACACAGCGACGTTCTATGCCTCTAATACTGCTGGCTGCTGAAGACATGTTGATAATGGACCCTCGGCCTTTCTTCAGCATCTGTACCACAAATATAATGTTTAGAATTCGCAGAACAAGCGAAATATTCACACACACTAATGTCTGACCGAAGGAGATTCTGAACATTGTAAAAATCTCTCGTCGGTCGATACATGCAAGGGATGAGATGAAACAGCTAACACCACCTGTCTGAAGGCTGGCTACCTTGGACCAAAACGTCTCGCGTTGGCTGGGCGCCAAGGTATTAGACCAGTGTGGTACGGCGGTAGAGCACTGCGTACCTTGTTCTAAGGTTCGTAGGTTCGAGTCTCCTTCGGCCAGACATTAGTGTTTTGAATAATAATATAATATATAAAAAAATTATATAATATTTATTTATATATATATATATCATCCTGGTAAGGAAGTTGGATAAAGTGGTACCCAACCTGGTGTGGGAAGCCCTTGGATAAAGTGGTACCAACCGGGGTATGTAGAAGGCTTGGATAAAGTGTACAACCTAGGTAGGCAAAGCTTGGATAAAGTGATACAACCTGGGTAGGAAAGTTGATAAAGTGGTACCAACATTGGGGTAGGAAACTTGATAAAGTGATACCAACTGGGGTAAATAGCTTGATAAATGTACCAACATTGGGGAGGAATAGCTTGATAAAGTGAATACCAACCTGGGTAGGAAGCTTGGATAAAGTGGTACCAACATTGGGGTAGGAAAGCTTGGATAAAGTGATACCAACCTGGGGTAGGAAGGCTTGGATAAAGTGGTACCAACCTGGGGTAGGAAGGCTTGGATAAAGTGGTACCAACCTGGGGTAGGAAGGCTTGGATAAAGTGGTACCAACCTGGGGTAGAAAGGCTTGGATAAAGTGGTACCAACCTGGGGTAGGAAGGCTTGGATAAAGTGATACCAACCTGGGGTAGGAAGGCTTGGATAAAGTGGTATCAACCTGGGGTAGGAAGGCTTGGATAAAGTGGTATCAACCTGGGGTAGGAAGGCTTGGATAAATTGGTGCCAACCTGAGGTAGAAAGGCTTGGATAAAGTGGTACCAACCTGGGGTAGGAAGGCTTGGATAAAGTGGTACCAACCTGAGGTAGGAAGGCTTGGATAAAGTGGTACCAACCTGGGGTAGGAAGGCTTGGATAAAGTGGTACCAACCTGGGGTAGAAAGGCTTGGATAAAGTGGTACCAACCTGGGGTAGGAAGGCTTGGATAAAGTGGTACCAACCTGGGGTAGGAAGGCTTGGATAAATCGGTGCCAACCTGGGGTAGAAAGGCTTGGATAAAGTGGTACCAACCTGGGGTAGGAAGGCTTGGATAAAGTGGTACCAACCTGGGGTAGGAAAGGCTTGGATAAAGTGGTACCAACCTGGGGTAGGAAGGCTTGGATAAAGTGGTACCAACCTGGGGTAGGAAGGCTTGGATAAAGTGGTACCAACCTGGGGTAGGAAGGCTTGGATAAAGTGGTACCAACCTGGGGTAGGAAGGCTTGGATAAAGTGGTACCAACCTGGGGTAGGAAGGCTTGGATAAAGTGGTACCAACCTGGGGTAGGAAGGCTTGGATAAAGTGGTACCAACCTGGGGTAGGAAGGCTTGGATAAAGTGGTACCAACCTGGGGTAGGAAGGCTTGGATAAAGTGGTACCAACCTGGGGTAGGAAGGCTTGGATAAAGTGGTACCAACCTGGGGTAGGAAGGCTTGGATAAAGTGGTACCAACCTGGGGTAGGAAGGCTTGGATAAAGTGGTACATGCTCTTGACATTGACATCAAAGCTGTAGTCCCAACTCTCCTCGCTGGTTTCCAGAATGTTACCTTGGTGAACATACCTGAACAAGTGAGGAGACGAGAAGCATTAATCTTCCTAGGACGCTATGCTGAGGAGATAATTACTTTTAATAGTCCTAGGACGCTATGTTGTCAATACTAATTTACTAGTATCTCTAAGAAAACAAAAACGTACATTATGGCAAAACAAATAAGACAGGGTGCGAATTATGGCATTTTATTTAAATGTTACGTCCACTGGGAGCTTCATCTGTTATAGAAACGAGAAGTATGAGAGAGTATATCTGAGGAGAGGTCCGTGAGGTGCACATCAGACTGGTTAGATCGCCTGTGTTGAAAAAGAAGTAACTTTTTACCTTCCATGTTGTGCCCAGCTTAACAAAGGTACCCAGTACAAGAAGCCACTGATCTACACAGAACGATTCGCGATCGACTGAACCTTCCTCTCTCTGCCGCTGACTTCCTTGAAACAACTAAACTGTTTATCGACTACAATTAAATTTCTCTTTCGAGGACTCCATACATGGTCTTGATAGAATCCCTGGCCCGTTTGCATCTGGAGAAGGAAAGATTAAAATTTCACATCCCTAGACATGTAACATGGCTAAGATAAGTAGACGATATCTTAGTCATTTCTCAACACCTTAAATCTACTCAACAACCTAAACCTGGTGGATCCTTCAATAAAGTTTGTCATGAAAGAAAAAGAAAAATATTCGACGAATTCTTTTCTTAATGGGCTTCTTGATCTGCAAAAAATGGTGATAAATTAGATTTCATAGTTTACCGTAAACTTACTAATAGTGACGTCTCGCTACATTTTCTATTCCATCACGATAATAGTGCAAGTCGCGCGATCATTACTGAATTCTCCCTGAGAACCCAGGGAGGATTCAGTAATGATCAAAGAAGAATGTGGCTACACAACGATTGTTTCACTGATCTACACTGCTTGCAGTAGAAGACCCGAGAAGAAATTACACAAGACAAACAAAACTCCACCCCACAGCAAATACATAATACACCTTGTTAACAACACAATCAATAACCTATCCAGTACCAAAATACATAGGAAACATTGTATTTGCTAATATAGCATCTAATACCATCGAAGATTGAATAAAAAATCAAATCCAAGAATGCCTCTGCTGGGATCCACAGTATACCTTGTGAAGGATGTGAAAAGTATTACTTAGGTGAAACTTCCGAGGACTTGAACACAAAGATCAGAGAATTTAGCTGTGCTTCACTGATGAATGACACGAACGACACTTGTACAGTACACTGGAACATTGAGTAACATTTGATAAAGTTCTCCGAAGGCAAATTAGGCACTGATCGCCACTACAAAAAAAAATTACATAAAATTTAGGTTCATTCTCAACCTCACAAGTATTAGCTAAACTAATTTTCACTAATCCTAACACTGCTATCACACAGCTACAGGTAGTCTCACCCATCTGCTCAGTGCCTCATAGACAGGATGTTTTCCCTGTCTGCTCAGCAATTCACAGACCTCTCCTCGGCCACTACACATTTTCTTTAAGAATTAATAAAGTTGCTGGTGAATGAAGCATCTTTTAAATAAAATGCTGTAACCTGCATGTTGTGTCCTACAGGCTATAAAATGTTGTTTAACTTAATTCACCGGTGTTCTGAGCTTGATAACACAAGGTGAGGAGGGAGGGAAGACTTACCCTGCGCAGTTGAAGAGAACATCAATATTGCTGAAGTGTTCTGCGAGGGTTCGAGCCCCAGGACCATCCCTCACGTCGAGAACACGACATGCCACACCTGTACGCCACAACCGCACCGTGAGAGTAATAAGGTGACAGAAATGAAATGGTTGGGGTTCAATCTGCGGAACTGTGTTACCAGCCACACACGCAGTCTGCGGGACAATACTGGCAGGAAAAATATCTCCAAGTAAGGTTTGTCTCTTGGAATAAGAATTATTATAATGATTATAATAATTGTAATAATCTTAGAATAAGATGTGAAAAACACCAGCCTCTGTTTAATTCATATTTTACAATTACAATATTGCGGAATCTCAGTTTGTATTCACGAAAACCATAGGATATATAAGAAAACTTTACTGTGGGGGCCCAAGTTATCTTCTTTATTAAATATAGGTTGGAGCAACAGTTGTTGATTTTCACACCCGGACGTATGTAAAAGAAAAGCAAATTCTTGCCAAGGAAGAGGAACTTTGTTAAAAACTAATTGCCTTCGACTATATATTTAAGTAGAGAACTAAACCCGGGTGGACCCTCAGCGCAAGGTGTAATGTAGCCTCGATCCTCCATCAGACGGATGCGCAACTCTCTTAGCCAGTAGGGTAAAGCATAAACATGCGACCAGACTTTATAAACTAGAGTAGAAGCAGCTGGAGGTGCCGTCACAGGTGGTCATGAACCACGGCGCAGGAGTTGTAGAAGACTTCCCCTGTACCAAGATACTATGGTGCTGCTGTGTCAGATACATAATCAGATTATTTATGGTATAGAGTACCGACAAGTTGCTGAATAAGTGACATGTGCAATACGTGAGTATTTTTATTACCCAAACGTATCGCCTGCAGAACAGGCTACCTCAGTCGAATATAGGCGAACCCAGAATTGGAAGCCGTAGAATTAGTTTTGACGTGATCAGTCTGTCACCATTATTAGGAAGCGGATAGTCCCTCCAGTTGTTTGCCAATGCCTTGGCATTGAGGGAGTCGCTGTCTCCTGCTAACAGCGACGGGTCGATCACATCAAAATTACTTCTACTGTTCCCAGTTTTGTGTTCCGCTGTATTCAACTGAAAGAGCTTGTTGTGCAGGAAAAACAACTGGGCAGTAAAGATACCCATGTGTCTTATTCGTATTTCTTGATGTCCTCATCTTCATCTGTAGATTTAGGCAATCTAGTGTCTTGCTTCTCGCTTTGCTTCTAATTTCTTAGGTTTGGTCAGGTGAGAAGGAGAGTAATCCTATGCAGGGCATAGAGTCGAAGTTATAAATTTTCCGTTAAAGTCTCAGAGTTATGTGAGATGCACCGCTGAAGTCACAGGTGCATATGCATGTCAGCTGACTGCATCAAGTGTTGCCTCGGCCTATGGAACATCTGAACGCCTTCGAAAAACCTAACTGTAAGGACCGACCACTGCGCTACCTTCTCTCGGTGGGTCGAAGTTCACGTAATTCGGTTCCTTCACCTTCATTGCTGGACTAGATTTGAGAAATGTCGTTGTAACTCCTCTGGGTTGAGGACTATATCATTTTTATTTCATACGTAATTAGTTTTGCGTACAAATTTTGTTTAGTCTAGGACATGCAAACTATTGTTGAGACATTGAGGACACGCAGAGTAAGTAATGAAAAGGGATAAGAATAGGGAAGTATAGTATGTAAGAGCTAAGGAAAAGAAAGTACATCATGCTAGAGTGTAAGAAGATAATATAGTGCTATAGAGAGCAAGGAAAATAAAATACAGTACTCTGGAGAGCAGGGAAAAGAAAATATAGTACTCTAAAGTCTAGACTACACATAGGTGATGTACTCACGGGGCCAGGAGTCGAGTTCCTGTAATTTCTTGGCATCGAAGTCGACAGCGACCACCAGCGAGGCTCCTTCCTTCAGGAAGCTCTCCAGTGTGGCTCGACCAATACCTGTAAGCCAGAGATGTGGTTACCCACCTGAAAAGTGCCACACCTGCCAGCCAGAGATTAATTACACACCTGTACAGTGTCACACCTGCCAGCCAGATGTGCTATTTCACGCCTATAGGGGCAATATGTGTAAACCAGACGTGTCGTGACACACCTGAAAATCAGAGATATTGTTCAGACACCTGTAACCCAAAAGTGTATTTAAACACCTGTCCAAGGTAACAACTGTTAGCCAGAGGTATTGCTACACACACGTTAGCCGGATGTGTTGTTCTCACACCTATAGGTCAGAAGCTCGTTTAAACACCTGTAATGTGCAATGCCTGTCAGTCAAAGATATTGTTTACACACGTAAACTGCGCCGCATCTGTAAAGCAAAGATGTGTTTCAACAGCTGTTCATTACAACAACTGTAAGCTGAACGTCTGTCTACACACTGGAACCACGAGGATAGTAACGAGACTCACAAGGGTAGTAGTGCATGTCTCACAGAAACAGAAAAGAACCTTATAGGAACAGCAATAAACCTGACAAGAACAGCAATACACCTCACAAAACAGCTATAAACTTCACAAGAACAGCAATACACCTCACAAAACAGCGATAAACTTCACAAGAACAGCAATAAACCTTATAAGAACGGCAGTAAACCTCACAAAAACAGCAATACACCCCACAATAACAGCAATAAACCCTCACAAGAACAGCAATAAACTCCACAAGAACAGCAATAAACCTCACAAGAACAGCAATAAACTCCACAAGAACAGCAATAAACCCTCACAAGAACAGCAATAAACTCCACAAGAACAGCAATAAACCTCACAGGAACAGCAATAAACCTTACAAGGACAGCAATAAACCTCACAGGAACAGCAATAAACCTCACAAGAATTTCAATAAACCTTAAGCACAATTTCCCTCTGGTAATGTTTACGATTTTTTTATTAATAAAAAACTGATGGAATTCTCTGTAGCTTGCAGCGTCAAAAGTTGCCTTCATGTAAAACTTAAACGTTTTGCCAGACGGTGGAGACCACACACTTGAGAAGTCAACAAAAAAAAGAAAAAGAGGAAGGGGATGGGGGCAAGTTTCCAACACTTAGTGAAAGTGCCAAGGAAGTGTTTACGACTCAATACAGTCTTGGCTCGGGAGTCACTAACACAGAGTGGTGAAGGCAAGAAAAAATATTTCCCATTTTTGGTTCCTTGCTTACAAACTTAATTCGGAAATAAAACCGACGCGGATTCTGCTGCTTCAGTGGACACTCGAGCATTTGACTGCCAATAAGATGATTAAGATCGTTCGTAGATAGTTTTGGCAACAATCACCGACTGCCTACGAGCAATCGAATGTTTTGCCGTGGATGAGGAACGACTGATGAAGCCACTTGTGGCGATATATTTCCTTTAATAAATGTCCTGAAGTGTTTATAAGTATCCACAATTGCCGTCGAGTACTAGTAGTTACCTACACGAACGCTACATTCACATACAGTAGACTAAATGTACTGTGACAAAATCCACCGCATTAATGATTTATTGTGATTATATACACCAGACATACTATAGTGTGATTACCTTACCTAGACACGGTGTTGTGATTACCTTACATTAAATGCCAGATACTCTGTATTGTGGCTGATAACTCCTTGCTGTCCGCATATACTCACCTTGAGCAGCAGCTGTCACCACAATCCTCTTTCCAGCAAGTCTTCCACCTGTACTTTCGGTAACAGCAGCAACAGTAGGAGGAACAGCAGTAGCCATGATGCTGTATGACTGAGATAAAAGACTGTGCTGTCCTCGACAACAGACAACCAGAGACCTGTAAACGAAGGCTCTGGCCGGGGTCCCACGCTGATAATTATCAGCGATTAGGCACCGGCAAGCTCTCAACTCCACTTATTTTCATCTCAGGTATCTTATCGTTGTGATACAGGGGGAAATCTGTAAGCGTAAATTTATATTATTGAACCTCATGATTTGTTTGGGCTAAAGGTATAGCGTGGTGATCCTATGACTTCCCAGTAGCTCCTAACTAATCACTTATCCCAAGGGTTCTCAAGCATTTTCAGCTCTCTGCCCACCTCTGAATGTCTCAACATGGTGACGACCTACCTAGGTTAGGCTGGCCAAGATCAAGATTTATATAAAGAACTAAGCTGGTGTCCCTGATGAATCATGACGGTCCGTCCCCGAGACATCACAGTGGACATAACCAGACGTAACCGCATCAAATGTGCTTCCCTCACCACGCATTAAAAGGACATTATTTGCATAATGATGCCATTGTTTATTTGAAGGAACATATGAAAAATGTAATTGAAATTGCTGTTAGTGATAGAGTAAAAAATATTCTAAAACCTATTTTTTATAGCAAAACATAAATTAAGGTTATTATGAGCCAGTAAAAATGAGCGAATGGAGTGATGATGACACTGCCAGATCTCAGTCCTCGATGGTACAAATACTGGAGAACTAAAAAACAATATCCATTGTCTAGTGAGAACACACTGAAAGAACGGGCAAAACTTTGTTATGCGTACCTAGCGTAGTATCATCTGTGTTATTATTAATGACAGCAAAACCAGAAGCCTTCAATCCAGTTCAGAAACTTTCTGTTATGTATTTTCAAGACATGAACATTAATGAGGAATGGTGCTATAATAAAGGTATGGATGTGCAATATAAACCACAAGAAGGAATTGAAGCTGTCATGTTATTATGATTTTGATCAATCAAATATGCATAAAGTGATATTAGATATAATAATGAAGGTAGAGGACATAGGTTATGCTGCTGCTGCAGCGGTAAATATGAGATTCACAAACTTTACATACGGAGAAACTCTGGAACTAATTCTGCTAAAAGGAAAATAACTTTCAGGATTCTTGGTGTTGACAGGGAAGTATTTGTTTTTTTGCAAATGCCCTCAGTTGATCTAATTAATAAGAAATAATTTAATTGATTCTGGGGTTCTTCTGAATAATGGAGATTGTGTTTGTGATGCATAAATTAAAATATTGTTTAGCTTATAAAAAGAATGAAACGCATCTCCGTGTGAGTGAACAACAAGACGCAGCCAGTGACGTATGATATATATATATATATATATACATATATATCAATTTCCAGTCCTATTTATAAAGTAAATAGACCAGCACTATTCTAGTTTAGGTTGAGGCCCAGTCCCTGGACCCATTATTTCTTCTGTAATCTTTTGACTACGCCCACAGGATGGGTGGGTGTGATGTGCATAATAAACATGTTAAAGTAACTCTTCTTGTTTATCTTCTTTACTACATAAGTGGGTATTACATAAGACAATAATTGCTAATGAGCGCTGGCCGTCATGCGCCGAATTACTATAAAAAGACTTGAAAAACAAGAGGAATCGAGAAATGTGGGTCAGGAGCAGCGTTGTTCCATTCTGGCAGCAGCATTGTTCCATACTGGCAGCAGCGTTGTTCCAGTCTGGGAGCAGCGTTGTTCCAGTCTGGCAGCAGCGTTGTTCCAGTCTGGCAGCAGCGGCTTAAGTTGGTTCCTTGCCCGGCTAATTTGTTTTTATAAACCTTGAGCAAGATTAAACTACATATATTAGGTAATTTTAGCGCATTTAGGTGAGGATGCTAAGTAAGTCATGGCGCATGATGGTAAATTTGTATACCAAGTTAATTTTAGAAGAAAAAAATCCTATTAAAATACAAGACAAAAATTTCGAAAAATATTTACTTATTTCTCAGTTTGGTTGCTAGACCCGCTCTGTTGAGAAAATCAAGTCACTTATAGCGATGGTCAAAAGATGGCCTCAGCTACTGACAAATGTGAGGGAACGTTTCACTCGGGGAAGTTTTATCATACAATGAGAATCAGTGAATTATACATGCTGGGGAAGAGACGGTGAAGTCTAACAATAAATTGGTTATTACTCTGACCATAATTTTTAAAGGGGTGGACCGGTAAGCCAACGGAAGGCCTCCGTCAGATCTCCAACTGTGGGACATCATCTGACTAAGACCCGCTTCAGGAAACACTTGTCCTGTTTCATGAGGAATCTTACCTAACCTAACCTAAGGGTGAAGTCTGGAGCAGAGTGACTGAGTAACTTCTCATGTGTTGTCAGTTTCTTGGCGGGAAAATCATTCTATCCAACATTTCTGAAATTATGAAGATGCGAGTGTTGTGGGCGACAGTGATGGTGGTGGTAATCATTGCACTCTCCAGATCTGGTCACCTGTGCAAGGTCCTCCTCACTCATGATGAGTCTGGGCGGGGAAGCGAACCGCTGCCTGAAGACTGATAGTCCGTCGTTCTACTGATCCAGTTGCCCAGGCCTCTAACAGGAAGAATTCGGAACTAATACTTACTCTTTCAGTTGCATCTGCATCTCAGTTGCACTCCTTCCCTTGGCCCAGGAGCACAATGCTGTGACGAAAATCAGTAGCCTACCATACAGGGGGGTCTTTCTCGTTAGTGCATTATGGCGGGCAGCAACCGTTAGCATGACGTCTCAGCATGCCGCCACACTGCAAAGTAACTCATCAGTACTCACGTGGCTGAGGGTAAGTGTTGCAGTTAGAGAGTAACTGCTTCTTTAACACAGTTAAGGTACCAACAGATGTCTTACTCGAGGTGCCAGGCCGAAGTTCGGCAGACGGTCACTCGACACCACCACCAGCCTTGGAACGCTGCACCCAGTTCCTCACTGAACGCTCACACACACCAACATTCTCCACTATTTGTCTCGTCTGGTGCCCAGCTTTATGAAGCCCTATGAATTGAGCTATAGTTTCAGGTGTTTAAGACTTCCTTTTACCCATAATCAAACATGTATTGCCCAAAAACCAAAGGGAACACCGGACAAAAATGGGGTGGATGCGAGACAAACATGCAACACTTCCCCACAGCCACGTGAGCACTGATGAGTTACTTTGTTGTGTGGCAGCAGGCTGAGACGTCATGCTAACAGCTGCTACCCACCATAATGCACAAACGAAAAAAGACCGCCCTGTATGGTAGGCCTTTGATTTTCGTCACGGCATTATGCCGGGGCGCTCACCCGGCATTATGCCATGACGAGTATTGTATATATCTCGTGCCGAATAAGTAAAACTTGCTATTTTGGCTTAAATAGCAACGCTCTTCTTGCTGAATAAGGCAAGCGAAAATTTGTGTATGCAATAATTTCGCAAAATAATCATTCTGTACCTAACAAAAAATATATTTCACTGTGTTTGTTTATTATTAAACTATTGTAAACTTATATAAAATATTTTGTTGGATTAGGCTAAATTAAATTACGCTTATTATAATAACGTTAGGTAAATTTTCTAAGGTTCTTTTGGAACATAATTATTAATTTTTACATTAACATAGATAAAAAAATAACTTTAAATGCATAAGAGAAAATTTTAGAAAGGACTTAATTTTAAATGAGCTCTTGCTAATTGACCAGTTTTACCTATTCAGCACGACATACACACACACACACACAGACACACACAGACACACACACACACACACACACACACACACACACACACATACACACACACACATACACACACACACATACACACACACACACATATATATATATATATAATATATATATATATATATATATATATATATATATATATATATATATATATATATGCATATATGATTTATTCAGCTGAACTAGTTGGACACTAGAAGACTTCAGCACCGTCACGGTGTGACAGTAACACAACACTCACGAGCCGTTACAGTAACACAACATACCAGGGTTGGTCAGGTACCCAGGCGGGCCACCCAATACCCGAGATGGAGTTCTCCATACAGATGACGACATTTCCCATGCAAATGTCCGTAATTTCTCATCCACCTCTCACAATTCCTGCAACACACTCCTTCATTTTTAGAGTTACGCCACTTACGCAAACACATTTCCTCCCTGTGCGTAGTACGCAAGCGCATTCTAGCTGATGTTTTAATCGTATTGTATAGCTATAAAGTTAAACCAGCATGAATATTTAAATAATTTCTTCAGAATTAACTGAAGCCAGAAATTTTAAAAATTCTCTCTGGATATCTATACACCATTTTGACGAGATGTCAATAAAACATTATTTACTCCATGTAAAACATGTAAATTGTAAATGAGATCCCAGGAGACTGGGAGAAAAAGTGCTGATTAACTCTCCTTTGTTTCATTTGCAGAATTAGAAAGAATATTAAAGTTGGAGGAGAGATAATGAGACATAATGATTCAAAGTCAGGGTGATACCTGTGATTCAAAGTCAAGGTGATACATGTAATTCAAAGTCAGGATGATACCTGTGATTCAAAGTCAAGGTGATACCTGTAATTCAAAGTCAGGATGATACCTATGATTCAAAGTCAAGGTGATACCTGTAATTCAAAGTCAGGATGATACCTGTGATTCAAAGCCAAGGTGATACCTGTGATTCTAAGTCAAGGTGATACCTATGATTCAAAGTGAGGATGATACCTGTGATTCAAAGTCAAGGTGATACCTATGATTCAAAGTCAGGATGATACCTGTGATTCAAAGTCAAGGTGATACCTATGATTCAAAGTCAGGATGATACCTGTGATTCAAAGTCAAGGTGATACCTGTGATTCTAAGTCAAGGTGATACCTGTGATTCAAAGTCAAGGTGATACTTGTAATTCAAAGTCAGGATGATACCTGTGATTCAAAGTCAAGGTGATACCTGTGATTCAAAGTCAGGATGATACCTGTGATTCAAAGTCAGGGTGATACCTGTGATTCAAAGTCAGGATGATACCTGTGATTCAAAGTCAAGGTGATACCTGTGATTCTAAGTCAAGGTGATACCTATGATTCA